CACAGTAGTAACGCAACGCAATTCTTGAAAGAGTAACATTTTCGATCCCGACAATATTTTGAAGAAGAAAAAGTCAAACGCGCTTTTTCTGGTACTCACTTTTTATCGAAATATATGGACTTTAACAATGGTAATTCGCTAAAGATGACGGAACAGGAAGATATTTCGTCTTCTTACTTTACGATCGAGGAAACTTGGAGCCGTTAAATGGGTTATTTTGGTCACGCTTCACTAATTTTACCGGACTTTGATGCTTTCGTTTGGAGGCTGCCTAAGGGAACCCAAGCCAATTCTCAGGTATGCTTTAGAAGAATGTCTAAATGTGTGAATAAACGAGGACCGGGAAAATTTGGAGCTATACCACATGAAGAAAAATACCGTAGAAAACAACTACTAAATTAAAGTTTTTGTCACCGTAAAAACCTGTTCTTCGTTTCTGAATTATGTTAGTTCAACGAGCCTTGATATTGTTTTGAAAGTATCTTCTAGTGAAAGAAGAAGCCGGTTGTTCTATTGATGGACTGTGTCCAAATTTCTCCTTGCGGCTTTATTTGCGAACACGAGGAGAGTTGATGTTAGCAAATTTCGGGTTGAAAATACGGCCATTTTGAGACTCCGACCACGAAAACTGATATTCTTACTTTTCTAAAAAATAAAAGGCTTTTTGCAAGAACAACTTACATCAGATTACATATCTACCTTAACGCTATTTATGGACAAAAAAATGAAGACAATTGATTTTTCAACTCTTGCCACTCGATGGTCGATATTTCCTGACCGTCGCTCTTAATTTCTGTTATGTATTAAAAAAAATACTTTTTTCAAGCATTTATCACAATAATTTTACGGCATGGATTAACTAGGGATAAGGTATAATTTATAGTTTGGCATCTTTTTATTTTTTAGATTCTAATTCGTGTGTTTCCTTTAATTTTCACTTCTCTTATTCAAGTTAAAAAACTATATGAGTTTTTTGATAGCGTATGGCAATAGATTATGAGAACTTGTCAAATCTGAATGTAAATTTATCTTCTTACGCTTTGATTTTAGGAACGAGCTGAGCAGGACGATACATCAGGATACAAATCAACGGTCGTAAAGCGGCTAATGCAGGTGAATATCGGACTTAGAAGGTAGCAATGCATGATGCCGTGTAAAAGGACCATAAATCTGGTGTCAGTTGTTTTAAAAGACGGCATGGGCAGACCATACCCCCACAGCCTATGACTCTTTCTCCTTCGAAATTTTTAATGTAGGTTCTTCCTTTCTGTCTCCTTTGAAATGAAAGGAAAAGGTTTATGCACCCATCAACTTTATCCATGTCACATTTGATTTAAGGCTTGTCGCATTATCACGTAGAGGACAATCCAGCGCGTGTTTTTAGGGTTTTGTTTTAGACTGAAGGTGAAGACGGTTTCCCCATGGGGGAGGGTACTTTCGACGGGTTCAGGACAAACACGAAACCGAAACCGAGTCAGCACAGATGTTTGATTTCAGACAGCAAAATCAACATCTTTATGAAATAAACTGACAAGAAATCTTTTGCTAAGATCCAATGTTTGTTTGAATTTCGAACTACAGATGATAAATTCAAACCTTCTTTAAATGGGTTAATCCATTAAGGAACGTCTTAACGGAAACTTGAAAGGCATAGTCTTCAGTTTGGCCAACTATTTTTAAACTTCATATGTCTCGGGCTCTACTTGTCTCATTCAAGTTAAAAAACTGTATGAAACTTTGACCTGTTTCAATGCATCTTGGAATTTGCAAAATAATTGTAAATTTACCTTACGCTTTTGTATTTTAGAAATTATCTAGGCCGGACGACACTTCAGGATACAAATCAACAGAGGTGAAGCTAATGCAGGTGAATATCTAACTCAAAAGATAGAAATGTACGATGGTAAAAAGACCGCCAAAATCACGTGCCATTTGTTTTGAAAAAAATGGGACTAAGGCAGAACATCCCCCCCCCCAGTCTATGCCTTTAAATGTTTGCTTCCTGTCTCCTCTGAAATGAAAGGAAAGGTTGTATGCAACGCATCAGCCTTATCCGTGTCACATTTGATTTCATGCTTAACGCATTATAGTGATTTTAGCGGACAATCGAGTGCGAAAGCAGTTTTTTTAGGGTTTTGTTCCAGACTGGCTTTTTCAAGTTTTCCTCAGAGTGTGAACTTCACGTGATTAATTAGTTGCCACCTGGCATATCAACTGTGTGTTGGCAAAGTTTGCAGTCAAAATGGCACCGGAATAAAACACATCTCTCTCGGAGAGTTCCTAATGGGTTGCTAATTGTTTTAGTTTCTTTTACTTTATTTTTAAGGGGAAGCAACCATTATCAGCAAGAAGCATATGCCGAATGGCACGCGAGCTGGAATGCCAACAAGGAGAGTAAACTGAGCTTGGCGACCTGAGTTAAGCGGCACTTGGCAAAAGCTAAGCGACGAGTTATATAAAATAACTGTCAATTGTTAAATAAAGACAGAAAGATAAATAAAGGTGTAACAAGAAGACAAAAAAATGTAGTTAGTAGTCTTTCTTTCTTGACGAACGGTTTTTTGACAACCTTAACCCTGAAAACCTTTAAAGAAACGAGGATGTGTACCGGTCTGAAAGCAATGTAAATTTCATATGAGACAAAGCCACTGTATTTCGTATTTCTCGTGTTGAATGTTTATTATTATTATTATTATTATTATTATTATTATTATTATTATTATTATTATTATTATTCAATGAAGAGTGTTACGCCTGATATTCAAACACCAGAAAATGTGTTCAACAAACTAAAAATGAGCAGACAAGGCACAGACGTGTAGGCTGACTAGAGACTTCCTTCCCAGGGCATAACTAGAGCTAACTAGCTATAACTGAGCGTTCGAACATCTGCTAAGCCAGAAAGGACAGTGAGAACGACATGTTATCATCTGGCCTAGGTAATGTCTATGAACCCAAAAACAAATATAGTAATAGGAGGTACGTTATCAGCGGCTTCAGCCTGGAAAGTGTTGATCTTAGCTAGAGAGAATGAGCTTGGTTATTGAGCAGAGTAGCTTGTTTGTACTCAGAACAAAAGTAATAAGAAGAACCACTTGTCTTTATTTTACCTTATCTTAATGCGCATATAATTTGGGGTTAATTTTTTTCTTTTAATAGCATCGAAATGGCCAGTGCGATTATCTAATTATGGCCAACAAATACTGAAGGTTGTAACAATTAAAAGCAGCAGTCAAAGACTGAAAAAAACACACCTTGCCTTATTGTTAAAGGAAGAACATTTGTTTTAGAACTTCCTCTTTAAGTTCGATGGAGAAGTAAATGATATAAAAACCGCATATTTTATGCATACGTGATAACATACATTTATAGTTTTGCCTTCAATTCCTGTTACGCCTGGGCTTAATGTCTTAAACATGTTAAAGGCAGCTACGCCCCTGCCTGCTGGATTTAACTGCTAAATAGTGTGTGTAGTTTATGATTGTATATGCGCATTTTTAAATTGGAACTTTTAAGCACATTTCCAGTTATGGGCTTATTTGCATTAGCAGACGGCAAATTAGACATTTCCGTTGAAACATCTAAAACAAACATTTTTGGGTGGTATTTTTTAACTTCTATTGGGCCGTTAAAACTGACAACACTTGCATTTGTTAATGGAAAGAATTATGGCTTTACAACAAATCATTGACAAGAAAAACACATTTTAGTATATTTAATCGATTTTGTCTGGTTTTTGCCCGAAGCAAATATTGTCCGCGGCACCTTTGAAGGCTTTCCCGTCTCAGACAAAATTTTAAAAAAAGCGCGACAAACCATCCGCATCATTTGTTAGGCATTGATGATGACAGATAATTTGTCTCAATTAATCAACAACTTTTTCGCTAATGAAAAAAGGCCCTATCTTTTCAATCGATTTCTTAATACTCTGGTTGGCTTAAGGTCAGACTGACACCGTTATACAAGCTCACTTTAAGCAGCTGTGCTGAGGCTTCGCAGGGGGCTTACAATTGCCAATGAAAGTTCTGAATCAAACAGGATACGCAATATACAGAGCAGTAATTCAAAGTTACTTAACTGCATACGTACAATTCCACAGATACGTCGCAAACGTAACCATGAACTCAACGGTGAACGGATCCAGCGGGTCATGGAGCTGCTTTAATTTCACTGCGGGGAAAATCGGAGGAACCGTTGCTTTTTGTCTGATCTTCATCGTTTCACTGGTCGCAAACTCTCTAATTGTTATCATCGTTTATAAAACGCCGAACTTAAGAAAGCCGATCAATTTTTTCATCGCAAACATGGCCTCGTCTGATTTGCTGGCTCCAATATTTTGGATTCCTTTGGACCTGTCCTACCTGCACACCAACAACTCGTTTCTTATCGGTGGTCAGCTTGGTCAGGCCTTGTGTAAGCTTGTCAATTTCTTTATTGCCGTTTCCCTTACCGTTTCGGTTCAGAATCTGATTCTGATCGCAGTGGATCGATTTGGAGCCGTGGTGTTTCCACTCCGTTCCCCACTCATCAGATCCAAGCTGTGTCCCTTCTTTATTCTCACCACATGGATAGTTGCCGTAGCTTTCAATTCGCCAGACTTGTTCACTTACGAGCTCGTTGAAAATCCAGAGGGAGCCAGGTGTGTTACGAAATGGAAGAAAGCATTCGGAGAGTCCTCATCTGCCAGTTTCTTACTAGCTTTCTACATTCTGTTTACGTACATACCTGTGCTGTCGCTAGTCATTCTTTACTCCATCATTTTTATCAAGCTCAAGACACAGGAACATCCAGGTGAACAGTCCGCCAACACGCAGCAACAGCGGAACAGAAGAAACAGAAACGTTCTTCAAATGTCCATTGCTATCGTAACAGTATTTGTGTTTTGCTCGTTACCTTACTCTCTCAACCATTTAATCACAGAGTATCAGGACACTTTTACGCATTTCTCGTGTAGTTTCCGGATATATGATAAAGTCACTTTTTATATGGCTTACGCGTACTGTGCTATCAACCCAGTTATCTGTTTCATGTTTAGCAGTAATTACCGAACAGCTCTTAAAAGACTCATAAAATGTACTTTTGTACAGGCGTAGGTCGCAAAAATGTGCTTTTGGTTGAAGATGTTAAGAGTTAGAGGTTCGTGGAACACTCGCGAATAAATGTATCATGACTACTGACCAATGTACTTTTAGTAGTAATTATCGAAAAGGTCTTAGAAGACTCATGAAATGTTCTCTTGTACAGGCGTAAGTCGCAAAAATGTGCTTTTGACTGAATAATATGTTAAGATTTAGAGGTACGTAGAACACTCGCGAATAAAAAAATTTCCTCGACTGCCTTTGGCGTACTTAACTGAGGATTAAGTTTGGCATGACCGCGAAATATGACAGCATAGGCCACGTATTGTTAAAGGTTGGGCGGTAAATAAAACTCAGGGACGGACCATTAAAAACGTTATTGGGGGAGTAGGCAGGTGAAGTACAACTGTACAACTAACAACTCTTAATTACTGCAGAACCGCAAAGTTATAGAAGAGGTTCTGCCGAAAAAAAGGAAGGAATAAAACGGACGAGTGTAAACATCTGTTGAAATTTTAGCGCCACCCCAAGGTTTGACAGTAATGTTTACGTCGTCAAAAGAACTTGAGCAAAGAAAAAAACCGCATGTTTTTGTGGCACGTACGCCGTTCTCCCATTGCAAAAAAAAAATACAGGAACCAAAAAGTTAAACAGGAAGTTTAAACCATGTCGGTCTTAATAACAATTATTGTGCTAAGGCCTTTCAAGGGGACAAAAATTAAAGTTTCAAACGTTTGAAACTTAATAGCCTGCGAGCAAGCTCTCCTATTTGGGCGAGTGAAACGAGTTTCGCGAGAACGCGCGTTCTCGGGAGGCTCGCTTCGCTTGCCCAAATTGGAGAGCTTTCTCGCAGGCTAAAACTTAACTGATGGCCGCGATGCATATACTGCGTTGTCTGCGTTGTACAGAAGGAGCAGACAATGGCGGCCGGGGGGGGGGGGGGGGGGGGGGG